GCCAGCCGCAGCAGCAGGTGTAGCAGCCTGATCAGCAGTTGCAGCAGCCGCAGCAGCAGGTGTAGTAGCCTGATCAGCAGATGCAGCAGCCGCAGCAGCAGGTGCAGCAGCAGCAGCAGCAGGTGCTGCTGCTGCTGCTGCTGCAGGGAGACGGCAAATAGCACGAAGCTGAGAACGCGTGACGGTCATTAACTTGGAGTAGCAAAGGCGAATTGCTGCTTGATATTGGCGTGCTGCTGCTCGTTTGCTTTTGTGGGTGCAGCAGCACCTGCTGCTGCTGCTGCAGTTGCTGTTGCTGTTGCTGTTGCTGTTGCTGTTGCTGTTGTTGCTGTTGCTGTTGTTCCTGCAGCAACAGTTGCTGCTGCTTTTGTTGCTGCTGCAGCAGCAGCAGCACAACTGCTTGACAGGGCGGAGCTGATGACTTTGTTGTTTTGGGGTTTTGTTTGTCTTCTGCTGCACTCTAAAGCGAAGCCCCCGCATGCAGAGGCAACTTAAATGCTGTTTATATACACGTGCTGCTGCATAGGTGGCTATACACCTCAAATGCTGATGCACAGCCCTTGCAGAGACCTGGGGGGCCCCCCTTCGCTGCAGCGGGGGCCCCCCAATGTGATTGGCTGCTGCTGCTGCTGATGCTGCTGCTGCTGCTGGTGCACCAGCAGCAGCATCAACAGGTGCAGCAGCAACAGCAGCAACGTCTGCTGCTGATAGCGCTGCTGCTGCAGGACGGGCATGCACCCGCAAGAACAGCCAACTGTACTCCAACAGCCTCAAAGAGAGCTCTGCATGCAAATGAACAAATAAATAAATATATAAATATAAATATATATATATATATATATATAAAGGTAATAAATAAATATATATAAACATAAAATAAATAAATAGAGCACTAAATAAATAAACAAAGGCATCAAATAGATAAACAAAGACATAAAATATATAAATAAATGCACGAAAACAAATAAACAGACAAAGACAAACAAACAAACAGACGTATATCTGTATATATATGCAGATGTACACATACGCATGCATATATACACATATATATAAACAAACTAAAAATAAATAAATAAATATATATATATATATAACATAAAGCAATAAGAATAGAGAATATGCATTCATACACATCAAAAGAAACATCTACAGATACCCAAAAACATAAAAAATAAATAAATAAACAAAACAAACAAAACAAAACAGACAAAACAACAAGTAAATAAACAAATATATAATATATAACATATATTATATATATATATATATCTTACTAAGGAGATATGCAGGGTTGATAAACCCTTTAAACTCTAAAAGAATACGCCTAAGAGAACGAAGAAGACGTTTAAATGTCAGTCGTATTGCACAATAGATATTGAAGGACACACAAGAAAAAGAATTTGTCTCTAAACATAAAAATAAAGGTGAGCCAAGACGAGCACGGATACACCCGAAGAGAGGCCTCTCAAGCATACTCTGCAAACAAAACATAAAAAGTTATATTCATATTTATTTATTTATTTATTTTGTTTATTTGCTTTATTTGTTTTATTTGTTTTATTGTTGTTGTTTATTATTGAGGGTGGTTTGCTTGCATTTCTACAGTCTTTTACGTTATACATACATATACATATATATACATATATATATGTTATATAAATGCATATAATATAGATATCTATATCTATATATATATATATATATTATATATTATATATATATGCTTGCAGATACATACAGATACATGCATATACACAAACAATACATTTATGTATAGAGGTACGCGGGCAGAAGAAGTTGAATTGATAAAGAGACAAAAGGAGACAGAGAAAGACAAAAGGAGACAGACGAAGAAGAGACGAGCAGAAGACCAAATAGAGAGACGAATGAAGAGACAAATAAAGAAACAAAGAAAGAAATACAATAAATATAAATATAAACATAAACATAAACACACAGAGACAGAGAAGTAACCAGCAGCAGCAGCAGCAGCAGCAGCAGCAGCAGCAGCAGAAACCACAGCAGGGGACCCCCAGCAGCAACTGCTGCACCGGCGTGCACTAGAGCTGCTGCTGCTGCTACTGCTGCTGCTCCTTCCGCAGGTATTTCTCCTGCTGCTACTGCTGCTGCTGCTGCTGCTGCTGATGCCACTACTGCTGCTGCTGCTGCTACTGCTGCTACTGCTGCTGCTCCTGCTGCTACTATTACTACTACTACTACTACCACTACTGCTGCTGCTGCTGCTGCTGCTGCAGTAATTGAGAGCGCACAGTCATGAAGCCGCAGCCTGATCTCTTCCGCATTGCTGCAACGTCTCGCATTGAAACTTTAGGTGTCTCCTTCTTCTTTTCTTTTCTTTGCTTCTTTTCTGTCTCCTCTTTCTTTTCATTTGTCTCTTCTTCATTAATCTCATTATTATTAACCTCATTATTTTTATTTTCTTTCTCTTTGTCCGTCTGCTTCCGCTGCTGCTTTGTCGGCTTCTGCTGCTGCTTCGTCTCCTGCTGCTGCAGCTTTGTCGGCTTCTGCTGCTGCTTTGTCTCCCGCTGCTGCTGCTTTGCCTCCTGCTGCTGCTGCTCTGTCTGCTTCTGCTTCTGCTGCTGCTTTGTGGTTTCTTGCTTCTCCTTTTTCTTCATTTTCTCTGTCTCTTCTTCGTTTGTCTCTGTCTCCTTCTCTAGTTTTGTTTGTGTCTGTGTATTGATTTCTTTTTGTTTATATATTTGTTTAGTTTTATGTATCTGTTTATTTTTATTTAGTTGTCTATTTTTATTTATTTTCTTCTCCCCCCACCCTAAAGATCGGCATTCAACCCTGCAGCCAGCCGACGGAATTATTAATTCCATGCCGGCCCAGCACAGACCCTTGCTGCCTTCTGCTGCTGCTGCTGCTGCTGCTGCTGCTGCTGCTGGTGCTGGTGTTTGGGGCCCATGCCCTGCTGCTGCTGCTGCTGCTACTGCAGTTGCTGTAGTTGCTGCTGCTGCTTTGCCTTCTTGGCTTGAAAATGCTGAGGTCGGTGGTGCTGCTGCAGCTGCAGACGTTATGGAGTCTACCGGATCTCCTGCTGCTGCTGCTGCTGTTGCTGTTGCTGTTGCTGTTGCTACTGCTGCTGCTGCTGCTGGTGCTGCTGCAGGTGCTGCAGTCAGGCGTTGGGCTTGGGGCCCCCAGCTGCAGTCGATCTCCAGCCTCAGCTTGCGCGCATTTACGTTGGGGCCCCACACTTGCTGCTGCGTCAGCAGCAGCAGAAACTCTGCTGCTGCAGAGACACTCGGAGAAGCAAATATAAAATCATCTACCCACCGCAGCAGCAGCGGAGGCAGCTGCAGCCGCCGCAGCCGCAGCAGCAGCAAACGGCAGCAGCGAGGCACTTTTGCTGCTGACCTCTCCTCTATCTTTCCTTTAAACTCAGAGACAGCAGAGAGTGAAGGTGGACATGCAGCAGCAGAAACTGCTGCAACGCTAGAACTGCTGCTGCTGCTGCTACTGCTGCTGCTATTGCTGCCTTTGCTGCTGCTACTACTGTTGCTGCTGCTGCCTGCGGCAGCTGCTTTCGCCTGGCTGTGGCTGCTGTTGCTGCTAGTTGAGCTGCTGCTGCTGCTGCTGCTACTGCAGCTGCTGCTGCTGCGTCTGTTGCTGCTGCAGTCTGGTGCTCGGATTTGCAATAGCAGCGGGTCGCAGAAGACAAAACACCAGGGAGGTGAAGGGCCCTCGCGCTCTGCTGCTGCTGCACCTGGGGCCTCCCACAGCAACTCAAAGGACTCCAGCGATGGCTGCTGCTGTTGCTGCTGCTGTTGCTGCTGCTGCTGCTGCTGTCGCTGCTGCGGCTGTTGCTGTTTGCGCTGGTGCTGCTGGTGTTTCTGGCTGTCTAGTTGTTGCTGCTGTTCCTGTTGCATCTGCTGCTGCTGGTATTGCTGCATTCCTAGTTGTTGCTGCTGCTGTTTCTGCGTCAGCTGCTGCCTTTGTGTGTGCATGGACGGGTTTGACTGGCTATCTGGTGCTGCTTCTGCTGCTTTTGCTGCTGCTGCTGCTGCTGCTGAGGCGTTGCTGCTGCAGCACCACACCTGCAGCTGCGGGGGCTTCAGATGCCCTCTAAGGAGACGCCGCACGCGCGGGTGTTTGTCGCGCTGGCCATAGAAAAATGCGCAGAGAAGCGCAGAGAGGTTTGAGCCCTGAGGGATACCTTGAAGCTGCCTATACACCCCAGGGGGTGCAGGGGTATCCTGCTGCTGCTGCTGCTGCTGCGGCTGCTGCTGCTGTTGCTGTTGGTGTTGCTGGTCTTGGCTGCTGCTGATGCTGTTGCTGTTGCTGGTGGTAGTGGTGCTGCGCCGCATACGCACAGGCAGCAACACCCAGTGCAGCTGCAGCAGCAGCAGCAGCGCTGAACGCACATCTTCTGCTGCTATTCGGGTGTCTGTACACTGCGGAGCCACGAAGGCGCAGCCTCCAGCTGAGGCCCCCCGCAGCAGCCAGCGGCGCACGCACAGCGAAGTTGTTGGGGTGTATGCACACCTCTTCGCTTCTTCGTCTGCAGCAGCAGCAGCTGCAGCAGCTGCTGCAGCAGAGACAGAACCAACAGGAGGAAGGCAACAATGAGACACACCTCCACTACCCACAGACAATGCCGAGCTGCATGCAGAAACTGCTGCTTCTCGCTCTGCTGCTGCTACTCGCGCTGCTGCTGTTGTTGCTCCAGCTGCTACTGGCGCTGCTACTGGCGTTGCTGCTGCTGGTCCGATTGTTGTTGCTGTTGCTGCTGCTGCTGCTGCAGCTTCTAGAGTTCGAGTGTTTGCACGTGTATTGCTTGTGCGTAGCGTTTGCTGCTGCTTACCAGCAGCAGCAGCTTTTTTGTTTTTGTGTGTGGGGTGTCTCTGCAGCAGAGTAGAGAGAAGAGGCGAGAGGCCCTGCTGCAGCGGAGGGACGCAAAATTCATCGAGCAGACCAAACGAAGAGACTCCTAAGCGCTCCGTCAGACTACACAACCCACCACGCACCCCTGCTGCTGCTGCTGCTGCTGCTGCTGGTGATGCTGCTGCTGCTGGTGCTGCTGCTGGTGCTGCTGCTGGTGCTGGTGATGCTGCTGCTCTTGCTGCTGCTGCTGGTGGTGAGGCTGCTGCTGCTGTTGCTGGTGCTGGTGCTGCCGGTGCTGCTGCTCTTGCTGCTGGTGGTGGTGGGGCTGCTGCTGCTGCTGCTGCTGCTGGGTGTTTAGGGGGTACTGCATAGATAGCACCGGGAGTAGTAATGCGTCTATAGACTTGGAGACGGTGGGTAAATGAAGGCAGCTGCAGCAGCAGCAAGAGCTGCTGCAGATCAGCGTGAGAGATGCTATCGAAGCAGCAGCGCATGTCACCTACTACACGCTGCATGCGGTGTACGTACACCCTGAAAACCCCAAACCGAGGCCCCTGCTGCTGCAGCAAACGCCGGAGCTGCCGCAGCCGCCTTTTATATAGCTGCCACCAACTCCTGAGGTGTCTGTACACCTCAGCATGAGACATCACTGAGCACCCCACTGCAGCAGGAAAGAAGCGACAAACTGCTGCTAAGTGCTGACTAACAGGGCGCAGCACGGAGTTCATCGACAGCCGGCTGCAACGTGGGCGCTGCTTGCTGCTGCTGCTGCTGCTGTTGCTGTTGTTGCTGTCTTCCTCCTGCAGCAGACGACGCAGATAGTCTGCATAAGACGACACAGCTGCAGAGTGAGAGCCGTTCATGTTGCTGCTGCTGCTGCTGCTCGCTCCAGCCACAACAGCTGCTGCTCCACGGAGTCCTGCTGCTGCTGCTGCTGCTGCTGCTGGCGGCACTGACAGGGGCCTCTCCTGGATAGGAAGAAGCGCTCCAACGTTTCTTGAGGAAGAGCAGGTGCCTTGTTGCTGCTGCTGTTGCAGCTGCTGTTGCTGCTGATGCTGCTGCTGATGCTGCTGCTGATTGGCAGCTAGCTGCTGCTGCGCCTGCAGCAGCAGCCGCGCCAAAGCAGCACCGCTGGGGCCCCTTGAGAGATTAACAACAGGGCGGCAGCCGCGTAGCTTAGGAAGAAATCGAACACGGGGCACAGAAGAAGCAGCAATAAAGAGTGGCTCCCCAGCTGCTGCTGCTGTTGCTGCTGCTGCTGCTGCTGCTGCTGCTGTTGCTGCTGCTGTTGCTCGTGGGGTTGTTCCTGCTGTTGCCGTCGCGGTCGTTGCTTCTCCTGCTGGTGCTGTTGCTACTGCGTTTTCTGATGCTGCTGCCGTTGCTGCTGCTGCGTGTGCTCCTGTTGCTGCTGCTCCTTCTCCTACTGCTCGTGTTCCTGCTGCTGTTGTTGCTGCTGCTGCATGTCGGTTTGCAACTGCTGCAGAGACAGCCGCTACGAGAGACGCTCCGTCGATGGGCCCGATAAATGCTTTGGCTGGCGCCCTTCTCTTGTTGCTGTTGCTGCTGTTGCTGCTGTTGTTGTTGTTGCTGCTGCTGCTGCTGCTGCTCGCGTTGTCGCTGTTGAAGCAGCTGCGGCTGCTGGGTCTGCTGTTGCTGCTGCTGTTGCTGCTGCTGCAGGCTGGCGTCTCCTGCTGCTCGCTGCTGCCAGTAGAGGCTGCGCCTGCTGCAGTACGACGCCTCTTCGCGGATAAAGTGTCTCCGTGAGCAGCAGCAGCAGCAGCATCAACAGCATCAGCAGCAGCAGCCAGCTGCCTCTTGCGGGAAATTTGGAGGGCCGTCTTCTCCTCCGGTTCAGCCCTCCCCGCTGCTGCTGCTGCTGTTGCTGCTGCTGCTGTTGCTGCTGCTGCTG